CAAAATATTTTAATCAAGAGTTTACGAAATCTATTTCACAAAGTGGAATTCAAAGATTATTTCGCTTTGAAACTTCAGAAAGAATTTATCGAAATGATGTATAGTATCATTGACCATTTGAACACTGAGTCAATTTTCGTCCTCTATCTGGACAAATATTGTTTATTACTTTTAAAGTTTTGATGTAAATTTAAATGGTACCTGCTCTGCAATGTCATCTCTAATCACCATATTGCGTATCTGACCTAACAACTGAGACAAAGACGACAACGTCAAAGTAGCAGTGGCAACATTTTCTAAGGTTCGCGTTCTTAGTAGAAAATCTAACTCCTGCAAATTGAAAGAAATGATATTTTTGTCACAGGGCATTTAATTTGTACTGTAAAGGGGTTAATTATTCACTGGGTTTTAATTTTGCTTATTTCGCTGACTGGAAAATGCGCTAAATTAAAACCCAGTGAATATGTAAAATTTAGCATAGAACACATTATCTAAATGATAAAACCGTGAATTTAAAACCCACTGAATATGCCTGAAATGGTAAATCAGCGAAATTTAAACCCAGTGAAAATTAGTCATTTTACAGTATACAATAGTGATAACATGCTAGTTTAGGAACATCTTCAGTGAGTTCTCAAGTTTAAGAAATGAATAAAGCTTGAACATAAACAGTCAGACCATATGTCAGAAGTATGGCTTCAGAACCGCATTCACTAAAACAGATTTGGCCACCAGTCGGCCATTAAGAATTCGATCTGACAAACAAAATGACTTGCATTTATAAGGTCCTGTAAAGTTCAATGTACATATCAAGTTTGAACAAAATCTGTTTATGCATGACCAAGACCCAGAATTGCAGAAATGTTTAATTTAGATGAATTTTTAACAAGCGCAATTTGGCTATCTTGAATTGGATCACGAAATAAATAATTGTGCATATGTGCAACAGGATGTATGATGTATATATAAAGTCTGTGCATATCATAGATGCACCTCTGGAACAACATTTGTTAAGACAAAATGTCTGCTGATCTAGAAAAAACAAAACCACATGCATCAAGGTCCCATATAATGTTCAAGGTATGTACCAAGTTTGAATGAAATATATTCACACACAACCAAGATCTGGTTTTGGAATGGCACAAAAATGGCAACCATTTAACTGAAATTGATATAGTGGGATAATCACATAGCATTATTATGGCATTGAAATCACATTCCTATTGCAACATTGTCACATTCAAATTGATATATTGTCACATTATGATCACATAGCAGTCACATCAAGATCGCTTCACTGTTTTATCTAAAATGCAAAAAATCATGTCAATTTCGACTAAGTACAACACTTGTCAACATCAGAAAGCACAAACTTTCTGTTTTTATTTTGGGCTACAAGTGAACTACATGTACTATGATGTTTAAGACCAAATTAAATGCAATTCTACAAATGTTGTGTTGTGTCAAATGTCTTTGATATGACATCTATAATCTAATACACGTATATTTCATTGTGCCCTTGTTGATGTCAAGGAAGGGAAAACAAATATGTCCTTGACTTTTACAAGTCATTGTCAATGACACGTCCCCGTTCCGTTCATATTTGAGTGACATACACATTCAAAGCGGATCATGAAACAAATGCACATATCTATTTGTGACATGATGTACCATGTGTGTGTGAAGTTTGAACTTGATCAATCCAGACATGTCTTGGATACGGATCCAGAACTGAATTCTTTAACAAAATGGCCGCCAGTCGGCCATTTCGAACTTGATCCGAAAAAAAAAAAGACGTGCATCAAGGTCCTATTATGTTTAATGTATGTACCAAATTTGAACAAAATCCGTCCATGCATAACTGAGATCCGGGTCCGGAATGGTGAAAATGTGCGATTTCAATGCATTTTCGGCCTTAAAGCGCTCCATTTGGCTATCGTTAATGAGATCATGAAACAAATGCACATACATATTTTTGACATGATGTACCTTGTGTGTGTGAAGTTTGAACTTGATCAATCCAGACATGTCTCGGATACGGATCCAGAACTGAATTCTTAAAAACAAAATGGCCACCAGTCGGAACAAAATCCATCCATTGCATACCTGAGATCCGGGTCCGGAATGGTGAAAATGTGCGATTTTGATGCATTTTCGGCCTTAAAATGGCCGCTATTCGGCTATCGTTAATCGGATCATGAAAAAAATGCATGTGCATATGTCCCATATAATGTGTGATGTATGAGTGAAGTTTGAACTTAATCGGTCCATGCATGTTCGAGATACAGGTGATCACGGACGCACACATGGACGCACACAGGGCAAAACATAAGTCCCCGTTTTCGGACTATGTCCGAACGGGGACTAAAAATACAGAAATTGTCAGTTTCATCTCCAATCGGGACAAGTTGATTGTAAGCTACAGTGAAAATGTCTCTCAATACAAATGTAGGTATATTATTTTTCATCCAACATATACAGAGTTGTGCATCATGTTAGGTCTCCCACGAGAAATATACAGCTTGTGCAAAAAGTCTATTCACATTTAAATTTTAACATATGCATGATAACCCTTTAACTGATCAATATGATAGCATACACGACCTACCCAATGTGTTATACCAGTGTTGTCGGGACTAGCTATAGTCAATAGCGGGTCAGATTTCTGGAGAAGAAAGAAAAAGAGAATAAAAACAATTAGAAATTTTAAAACCATGGATATCAGCAAAAGTTATATCTATTGAATAGAATAGAATAGA